TTCTCTCAGTTTTTTTTTTTTAATCTTAAAGTATCTTTCTCTCCCCCTGCTTTGTGAAAAAATAGTTTTGAACATATATAATCATATACTGATTATCACTTTTTTTAATTCTCATGACTTCCACCATTGTTGCTACTGAGTAGTCTGCTTTCTATCTAATGTCAGTACTCTGTGGGTGATCTGATCACTCTAGCTACATTTTAATTTTTTTTTTTGTTTATTTATATGAGAGAGAGTGAGCTCCGCGCAGGGTAGGAGCAGAGAGAGAGAGAGAGAGGGAGATACAGAATCCGAAGCAGGCTCCAGGCTCCAAGCTGTCAGCACAGATCCCTATGCAGGGCTCAAACTCACTGAACCATGAGCCGAAGTTGGACCTTGACAGAGCCACCCGGGCACTCTGTCTCTCTGGCTACATTTTAGATTTTGCTTTCTCTTTAGAATTTTGTGCCTTTACTACACTGGGTGTGGATTTCTTCTGATTTATTTTGGTACATTTTGTGCTTTATCTGTGGATCCATGTATTCAGTTTTGAAAAATTGATAGCCATTATCTCTTCAAATATTCTCTGATCCATTTTCTCTTTTCTGTTTTTCTGAGACTCCAGTTATAAATTTACCATGCTTATTCTATTTTTCCTAGTTTTAGGTCTCTCTTTCATTTTTTTTATCTTCTATTTTTACTATGATGCATTCTGGGTAATTTTTTAAAAATCTGCCTTCTAATTTAGTAGTTCTTTCTTCTGCATCTAACCTTCTATTTAATGTTTCCAACTTACATTTTTTTTTTTTATTTCTGAAAGTTCTGTTTGGTTCTTTTTCATATTAAACTTTTCAGTCTCTTGTTTGTTTATTCCTGTGATTCACTTATGTTTATTTCTTTGAACGTTAAATGATAACTTTATGTTCACTATTAGATTGTCCCAATACTTGAAGTCCGTAGTGAGTGTCTTTGGTGTTTTTGGCACTCTGATTATAAGCTTATATTTAATATTAATGTGGAAGGAAACTAATGCTTTGGTTGGGTTTGTGTTCCTCCAAATAATAACTCTATTTGTTTGTACTAGAAGCCAGGCTAAACTATTGTCTCAGGACCTTTCAGGTTCCTAGTCCTATTTTGGGAGTTTTTGAGTTCTCCTCCCCCAGGAGCTGCTTATCTAAGCCTGGGTTTCCCAACCATAAAACCTGTGTATTAGCACTGCTCTTGCAAAAATTTTCCTCTTTGCTTGTGCTTATTACTTGGGTTTTAGCTCACAGCTTTTGCTTTTTGTTTTGGAGGGGGAAGAGACATAAGGGAGAACAGGGAGTGACCTTTTTTTTTTAAACGTTTATTTATTTTTGAGACAGAGACAGAGCATGAACGGGGGAGGGACAGAGAGAGAGGGAGACACAGAATCGGAAGCAGGCTCCAGGCTCTGAGCCATCAGCCCAGAGCCTGACGCGCGGGGCTTGAACTCAGGAACCATGAGATCGTGACCTGAGCTGAAGTCGGACGCTCAACCGACTGAGCCACCCAGGCACCCCTCTTTTTATTTTTTAAACCATTTATAAAACATATTATTCTGAAGTTTTATACGTATCATCTAAAAAATTAAAAACAGAACAGAACCAGAACATTATAAGATAGAATTGCTCTTACTTGAGAGGTAATTACAGGTTTTTGAAATTCTTGTAACAAGTTAAATTAGAATACAAGTGATAATTTAAAATCTTAAAACGAGAGACAATTTTAAGATATAGTTATATATTAAAAATAAGACTGATTTTTAGCCTATTACATTTTATATTTGAGTGGAACTATTTATAATATTGTGGAAATATTAAATGGCAGACCTTGTAGATTTTCTGAAATGTTTAATTTTACAAATATATATGTGGATGCTATCACAGAAAAATAAGTATTCAGTGTGTTCAAATATGTACCAACTAAGTCCTAACTACAAGGTATAAGTTTATCTTATTTTTAAGAGAACATTTTGGGGGAGGGGGTGGAAATGATTTTATTTCTTTATTTATTTAATATAATTTATTGTCAAATTGGTTTCCATACAACACCCAGTGCTTATCCCAACAGGTGCCCTCCTCAGTGCCCATCACCCACTTTTGCCTTTCCCCCATCCCCCATCAACCCTCAGCTTGTTTTCAGTATTTAAGAGTCCCTTATGGTTTGCCTCCCTCTCTGTAACTTTTTTTCCCCCCTTCTTCTCCCCCATGGACTTTTGTTAAGTTTCTCAGGATCCACATATGAGTGAGAATATATGGTATCTTTCACTGACTGACTTATTTCACTCCGCATAATACTTTCCAGTTCTATCTGCATTGCTGCAAATGGCCAGATTTCATTCTTTCTCATTGCCAAGTAGTATTCCATTGTATGTATAACCCACATCTTCTTTATCCATTTGCAGTTGATGGACATTTAGGCTTTTTCTATAATTTGGCTATTGTTGAAAGTGCTGCTATAAATATTGGGGTACAAGTGACCCTGTGCATCATTACTCCTGTATCCCTTGGTAAATTCCTAGCAGTGCTATTGCTGGGTCATAGGGTAGATCTATTTTTAATTTTTGAGGAACCTCCACACTGTTTTCCAGAGTGGCTGCACCAGTTTGCATTCCCACCAATAGTACAAGAGGGTTCCCGTTTCTCCACAAACTCTCCAGCATTATAGTAAGAAAACATTTTTAAAAAGTTTTTGTTTGACGAGAGAGAGAGAGAGTGCAGGGGCGGGGTGCAGAGAGAGAAAGAGAGAGAGAATCCTAAGAGAGAGAATCCTAAGTAGGCTTCACACTGTCAGCATGGAGTCAGACTTGGAGTTTCAACCCACAAACAGTGAGGTCATGACCTGAGCCGAAATCAAGAATCCTACACTTAACTGACTGAGCCACCCAGTTGCCCGATAAGGCATAATTTTAAATTAGGGTTTAGGATGATTGAATTATGATATATCCTGGTTGTTATGGTGGTTACATGTGTTAAAATCCATAGAACTACACACCAAAAAAGAAAAAAGTTCAATTTAATGCATGTTAATTTAAAAATAAAATTTTCAGGGACCTCTGGGTGGCTCAGTCGGTTAAGCATCCTCCTTCGTCTCAGTTCATGATCTCACAGTTCGTGGGTTCAAGCCCCACATCAGGCTCTGTGCTGACAGCTCAGCTCTCTCTCTCAAAATTAAAAAAATTAAAGGTAAAATTTAAAAGTTTAAAAAAAGAAAAATGTGTGTGTTCTTAAGATTCTATGCAGTTTATTTTAGAAGTTTTTCAATGATAGTCTTAACTAGTTTCATTTTGTCCTTACTCCAATTTTGAGACTTAAAACATCATTCCTTTTAGCTAATAGAGAATCCAGTATTCACTGTGAAATATTAGGCCAGGGTTTCTGAACCTAAGCATACTGACATCTTTGTTGTGGGGGCTGTCCTGTGCATTGTAAGATATTTAACAGTACCCCTGGCTTATATTCTAGTAGCACTTCCCTGTCCATTTTGACAACCAAAAATGTTTTCAGACACTGCCATATGTCCTCAGGGGACAGTAGTGTGTGTGTGTGTAGAGACAAAATTGACACCAGTGCTAACCACTGTATTAGGCCTGACTGGCTCAGAATTTTTGGAATATATATTTCTTAATTTTCAAAGCTTGTCAAGCCAGTATTAAGTGGTATGATGTATATTATGGTAAGAGCTATGTTTATATAATCAATATTTACACCAAAACATCTTTTCTAAAATTATCTAATGCTACAGTAGGGCATTCCCAATTCATAAAATTAAGACCTTTATTTGTATTAAATCTTTGTAAAATGAGAATTTTATAAGTATTTGAAAGGGTGAACAGTATCTGTCACATAGCAACAATCTTATAAAAAGTACATGAGTGTTATTAAGGGTAGGATGAGAGAACTATACAATGGTAATTTTTGCTCTGTCTTGAATGTATTCTGGTGCCTTGGCAAGTCATTTAAGGAAATGTTTATTTTCTTAATCTATAGAATGGAAATGATTTAACCTAAATTGTATGGGGCAACACCATAGGGGAAATGAGAGATTTAGTTAAGACAAACATTCCATAAAAATGTTAAGTGTTTTAAACAGATATTTAAATTTTTTCAGCTATTAAATAATAAAAGAAAATGGAATTGAATATATCAGCATGGAACAGTCTAATGATTCATTAAGAGTCAACCATAATGATTCTGAAGAATCAAAAACAGATTCTCAGGTATTTGAGGTAGGAATTCAACTGGGAACTTTTTTCCATTACATTTAACAACTTTTTAATGGATAAGAAATAGTGTTATATTTAATATATTCATGACTGTTAACATTTATCCACAATGCTATCATATATTTGATTTAATAATATAGAACTTTACTCAAAGTAATATATTCATAAAAATCTATATATAAAGAAAAATATGTTGAATTACATATCAAGTTGTATTCCCGTGTACAACTTTATTTCAGTAAAATTGAAATAAAATATAAAAATCAACAATTTCACTTAAAAACTGCTTTCTATGTTAGTCTGTGTGAATTGACAACTCTTTTTTTTTTTTTTTTT